CATCCCATAAAAAGAAAAGACTAAGATGCCTGACGTCATTAATAGATTGGCGCCCCACCCCCCTCCCCCCAATCCCCCGGCCCCCGTGACACATTTTTACACTGTTAACGGCCATCTTCTTTATTGTCTTTTAAATCATAAGTCAAGTGTCTATAAATAAATAAAGTTATGTTTGTGGTGGGCTGGGTAAAAAGCTCATTTGTACATACACATTAAGGATGACCCAGAAAATATGTTTTATTTGCATTTGTATTGAAGGGGATGGAGGGGGAGGTTTGCTTGGGGGTGGGGGAGGAATATGGTATGAATTCGAAATGGGGGTGTGGCGCTGTAAACATGTTGAGAGCGCCTGGACTCAGCCTTCTGCGTAAGACACGATTTTGTAACACCTTGAGACCTCATTAGAAAAACAGATTGTTAAGTCAATAATGGTACAAAGTTTTTTGTTAACCAGTTTAGATCTAACCATGTAAAAAGACAAAGATCTGTCTAAATTTAAATAGGAGCAACACGCTTTATGTCTGCAATGATGACATGCATCTTTAATGGACATTTAAAAACAAACAAATGTATATCAAATAAACATTTTTAAAAATGAAAAAAAATTCAGAAGAAACAAAACATTTAAATTACACCGAACAACCCGACCGGGTTAAACCAGTGCACATCTTGTGCCCTAAAAGGCGAGTGCGCCTTAAGTAAAGAGGAATGTATCGCCTTTGAACATTCAGTCAAAAAAGAAAGAAAAGCTTAGTCATGTACATTTCACTGGCTGCTTTTTATACCAACGCAAATGGCGCAAATTGTGACGCTAACGATTTCAGAATTGACCTCTCATAGGTCAATGATAGCACAACATACGTGGAATCGAGTACATTTAAAAATTGTGCAAATATATGTTTTAAGCGTGATGTCATCATAAAATGTATAATTAACACCTGCCCCGACTTAAGAAACATGCGTTTATAATGAAACATAATTTGAAAACAGATTGCACGTGTTTGATACTTATCAAGAACTATTTCAAAATTAGCAAGTCTTTATATGTTTATGTAGAAAGTAGTTTGATACAGTGTTATTAAAGTCTTTAAACCTGTGAAGTTTCAAAAAATAAATACATAAAATACCGATTTATATGCGAACAACGAGAAGTTAAGACTTGGGCTTATCATCTGGAGCGGTCAATTTTCGGAAAGGGACGATATTTGTAATCAAATTGTGTGAACTTTAAACAAAGTTAGCCTTAAATATACGGATAATCAAATACATAGATTGTAGGAATAATTCATTCATAAAACTTTAACAAAAACCCACTAAATACCTAGATTTTCTGATATATCATTTATAAAATGTGATATCGAGCAATAGCAATGTTGGGGGCGGGGGGGGGGGGGTAATTTTGTGGGTGCAAAATATGCATAGAAGTAATACACTTTATAAGAATACCAATTAGTGATCCCCTTCCCAAGGCTCACGCCCCTGAATTATATTATTAGTCTAATGACCCACCCACTTTTACACCGCAGATTTATTTCACCAACTATTTCAGAAAAGGAAAAGAAAATATTTCGCACCAAACGCACGTTTAATATATTTTTAAAAGAATATCATTTAACCCAGTTTTTGGGGAATTTCCCTTCATGTTTCCCTTGAAAAACAGGAAAAATGGATGTATGTGGTTTTTGGGTGGGCTGAAAATGTCAAATAACGTGTTATAGTCGGCAACGAGTCTATTTGCCAAGTTTCAGCTCCATGGCGTGACGGAAAATGGGTCAATTAGCCGCTTGAAGATTTTGCCTGCCACCAGGTCACGAACAAAAACGAAGTTAATGTTTAAGTTTAGGGGAATTATAGATTTTTGTTAGAAAATCTCCTAAGCCGCATAATACCGGGAACGACTCACAGACAACGCTATAGGAAGGGACTGCACATAATTAAAATGTACGGAAGCATCAGTGTGCTTACTACCGTGGCCTTATATCAGTGTACTTACTACCGTGGCCTTATATCAGTGTACTTACTACCGTGACCTTATATCAGTGTACTTACTACCGTGGCCTTATATCAGTGTGCTTACTACAGTGACCTTACATCAGTGTACTTACTACCGTGGCCTTATATCAGTGTACCTACTACCGTGGCCTTATATCAGTGTACTTACTACCATGACCTTATATCAGTGTACTTACTACCGTGACCTTACATCAGTGTACTTACTAACGTGGCCTTACATCAGTGTGCTTACTACCGTGGCCTTATATCAGTGTACTTACTACCGTGGCCTTATATCAGTGTACTTACTACCGTGACCTTATATCAGTGTACTTACTACCGTGACCTTACATCAGTGTACTTACTACCGTGACCTTATATCAGTGTACTTACTACCGTGACCTTATATCAGTGTACTTACTACCGTGACCTTATATCAGTGTACTTACTACCGTGACCTTATATCAGTGTACTTACTACCGTGACCTTATATCAGTGTACTTACTACCGTGACCTTATATCAGTGTACTTACTACCGTGACCTTATATCAGTGTACTTACTACCGTGACCTTATATCAGTGTACTTACTACCGTGGCCTTACATCAGTGTGCTTACTACAGTGACCTTACATCAGTGTACTTACTACCGTGGCCTTATATCAGTGTACTTACTACCGTGGCCTTATATCAGTGTACTTACTACCATGACCTTATATCAGTGTGCTTACTACCGTGACCTTATATCAGTGTACTTACTACCATGACCTTATATCAGTGTGCTTACTACCGTGACCTTACGAGATTGAGCTAGATATTTGGATCCGTCATGTTTTGCCTTGAATTAAACATGGAAAAGACTTAAAAGTATATCAATGAGTCTTATTACGAAGTGGTTGCATTAATCACATTTTATTGTCAGATTTATTTACTTGCCAAGATGGCCACCTCTTCATCAATTGTTTTAATTGACGAATAGTGGCTTACAGCCTTGGGCCATTTCTCGTCACGTGGTGTATCAATGAATTCTGCCCCTCTAATTGGGCCATTTCTCGTCACGTGGTGTATCAATGAATTCTGCCCCTCTAATTGGGCCATTTCTCGTCACGTGGTGTATCAATGAATTCTGCCCCTCTAATTGGGCCATTTCTCGCCACGTGGTGTATCAATGAATTCTGCCCCTCTAATTGGGCCATTTCTCGCCACGTGGTGTATCAATGAATTCTGCCCCTCTAATTGGGCCATTTCTCGCCACGTGGTGTATCAATGAATTCTGCCCCTCTAATTGGGCCATTTCTCGCCACGTGGTGTATCAATGAATTCTGCCCCTCTAATTGGGCCATTTCTCGCCACGTGGTGTATCAATGAATTCTGCCCCTCTAATTGGGCCATTTCTCGCCACGTGGTGTATCAATGAATTCTGCCCCTCTAATTGGGCCATTTCTCGCCACGTGGTGTATCAATGAATTCTGCCCCTCTAATTGGGCCATTTCTCGCCACGTGGTGTATCAATGAATTCTGCCCCTCTAATTGGGCCATTTCTCGCCACGTGGTGTATCAATGAATTCTGCCCCTCTAATTGGGCCATTTCTCGCCACGTGGTGTATCAATGAATTCTGCCCCTCTAATTGGGCCATTTCTCGCCACGTGGTGTATCAATGAATTCTGCCCCTCTAATTGGGCCATTTCTCGCCACGTGGTGTATCAATGAATTCTGCCCCTCTAATTGGGCCATTTCTCGCCACGTGGTGTATCAATGAATTCTGCCCCTCTAATTGGGCCATTTCTCGCCACGTGGTGTATCAATGAATTCTGCCCCTCTAATTGGGCCATTTCTCGCCACGTGGTGTATCAATGAATTCTGCCCCTCTAATTGGGCCATTTCTCGCCACGTGGTGTATCAATGAATTCTGCCCCTCTAATTGGGCCATTTCTCGCCACGTGGTGTATCAATGAATTCTGCCCCTCTAATTGGGCCATTTCTCGCCACGTGGTGTATCAATGAATTCTGCCCCTCTAATTGGGCCATTTCTCGCCACGTGGTGTATCAATGAATTCTGCCCCTCTAATTGGGCCATTTCTCGCCACGTGGTGTATCAATGAATTCTGCCCCTCTAATTGGGCCATTTCTCGCCACGTGGTGTATCAATGAATTCTGCCCCTCTAATTGGGCCATTTCTCGCCACGTGGTGTATCAATGAATTCTGCCCCTCTAATTGGGCCATTTCTCGCCACGTGGTGTATCAATGAATTCTGCCCCTCTACTTCTGCACATGTTTTCGTGGACTCTCACTAAGATTGCGAGTCGTTGAACAGGACAACCAATATGTTAAGCAGGACACTGACCATTCAATTCCCGCTTACCAAGTCGAATGAATTTGTCAGATCTATGAAACATTGCAAATCCCCTATACATATATAGGAGCCAGAATGGTCAATACATTGATATGGTATGATTGTGGTGCCGTAATATATAGAAGAAGAAATTTTTTTGTTTTTTTTTGTTTCTTTTTTTCAGCTCACAATACTTATGACTGGCGTAGCGAGAAAGTCATGTCTGCAGCTAAACAACCAGTCCGGAAGCAACATCGGGACTCTGTGTAGACACGGCCAGTCAAGGACTACAAGGTCTTGAGCGCAAAAGTCATGCTGAGGAAATAAAGCTTCCTGTAATGGTTGCACTCGATGCGGTCTCCTAAATTTGTGTACAATGTTTTGATGTTTGCGTCTCGCAGAATCGCTGGTCCAGTGGAATGTAAACATCTCCCCATCAGGGACAGTGGAGCTCAGTTAACGGCAGAAGCATAGTATGATGACCGATTTAATATATATATATATATATATATATATATATATATATATATATATATATATATATATATATATATATGTAGAGATAGAGAGCGTGGGGTGTGGAGAGAGAGAATAATATGAAGATTGATTATATATATATATATATATATATATATATATATATATATATATATATATATATATATATATATATTTACGTCCACCCATTTTCTATTTGTTTCTTTATCTCATAATGGAAATGAGGATGTAAATATAATCCATCCCACCCTTAAAGTCCAAACGCAAATTATAAAAGATGTATTTGAAATCATTTTTGAACCCACAGTATGTCCTTAACAATCTTCTATAATCAATCCAAAGTAAGACAAATGGTCGTCAGAGAAGATAAGAATAATCACAACTATAACAACATTGCAATGTCCATGAGTCGCGTCTAGATTTGAGAAAGAATCCTAGACAGGAAAGAAGCGTCCATGCAGAGAGTACGGAATGTTTGTGGGCAACTCGGCCCGATTCACTAACGTCAGAGTTCTGGCATCCAGAATCGCCAGGTACGTGCTGCGCCTGTTGCCGTCCAGAACCGGAAGGAGCAGCACGCCATCGTCCTCGACCCGAGCGTCGGGCCGGGCGACGAACCAGGGCTCCACGGGGTAGTTCCCCGGGGCCTGCCACGCCCTATCTCCAGTCCCGTTAGAGCAGAGGTCCTTCTTGACGATGGCGATGTTGCTGAGCGTGACGTTGTCCGTTTTCAGGACCAGTCCGTACACGTAGCAGTAGTGCTTGGAGCGGTAGGCCTCGTTTATGACTGGCATGTCGAGCAGAGTCGCCAGGCTGGGCCGCGGGTTGCTGTCAATTGGAATTTCACGCACCTCCAGCTTTTTGAGATTGATTGAGAACCGCTTGAGTCTGGCATGGGCGTCAAACGAATTCCTGGCCAACGGATCCCTCATGACGTGGAGCTGAAGATGCTTGACAAAGTCAGGGGAGGGGTATGTGGACAAGTCCATTATGATTTCCTGTTTACCCACGTCATAAGCGTTCACATGATGCATCGAAAACACATTATCGAGGTGGACGGTCGTGACTTTACCTGATTTTAGAGTCACGATGTACAAGGTTGACTTTTCCTCGGGATGCCAGTCCAGACACGAGAAAGGTTCTGCCTTCTTAGCCATGCACATGACGTTGACGTAAAACGGACTGGCAAGGAGGATGGCCTTGGTGGCCGTCACGGAGAAGGAGTGCATGTAGGGCACGCGCCCCACATTCCACTGCGCCACCACGGTCCTCCTCTTTAAAGACTTGACCCGTATCAGGCTGATGACGTTTCGGCTCCAAGGAAGCACCGCCACGCTGGAGAGAAACGTCAACGAGTTGTTGGTGCCAGGCTCGGGCAGAGGGTGAGCAGACGACAGCAAGTCGAGGAATCCGGTGCCTTGCAGCCACGAGGACGTCGTCTGCTGTCGGTTCTTTAACTTCGGCGCAACCCTGTGCACAGTGGTGAGGTTCTCGATCCCGATTTTGTACAGGATCCAAAAATCGCTCAAAGCGGCATATTCCGCCCGGCCAGTTTTGGGGTTTGGAAAGGCGTACACGTTAACATTCATATTGTCCAAGCCCCTCACCAGGCACTGCAGCTTCTCGACGTAGCCGAATGGAGGCGCGACCGCCTGAAATAAAAGGTACGGGGCGATGGTCTTGGCCTCCTTCGACGCCTTGTAAAAATCCGATCTGATGAATCTCGTGGAGAACAGGACCGTGGAATTTCCGAAGAATTTCCAACTGGCCAGTTTGGCGAAGCCGTCGAAGGCATGAAGGAAAGTGCGTGGCCCATTCTCAAACAGCCCAAGACCATTGCGAACCTGAAAGAACAAAAACGGGGACACATGAATCCTGGAGCAAACGTAATTAATACACCGGGCTACTGGACTTCGTTTGTCCAAATATGGGAAGTACTTACAGCACTTCGACATATCGGGTATTGGAAGTTACGTCATGTTAATTCTTAGTGATTTTTTTTATTACAGTTTTGTTGTGTGTGTGTAGAAAAAAAAGTATACATTTTAAAACGCTTCATGGAAAATAATAAAAGATGACACTTAATTTGAGTACAGATAGTCATTATACATTTAAGAAGATACTTAATTATAATAATATTTTGCGACAATTATTGTAAAAGTAAAAAAGTGTGAAATATTGTAGCTCGGTGGCTTGTAAAGGAGCTATTAATTGTCCATTTTTATTGTATGAAGCCAGTACAACATACACTGAATTGATTGGTCTTCAAATATATATAATGACTGATGGATAATTCCTACATACAAAAACAATAAGTCCATTTTTTTTTTCTAAGTTTTGGATTTAACTTCGGAAACATCGCCATTTTCCTTCCCTTTCCCATGAGTTGAAGACGGAGCCACGACACCTACACACAATTTCGAGTTAAAAATTAAACAAACTGCCAAAAAGAACTTTTTCAGATAAAGCCTGTATAAAATGTGGTATCGAGTAAATGGGGCTGGGACTGCACACGTGACGCCTAGCCGCTATGCATACCGGGTCTCTTTAGACTAAATCCCATTCGGATGTCATGTGTGGTAGTTTATTTTAGTTAAACTGAGGAAGTAAGCTTACAAACATACATATGGCCCATTCAATTATCTTTCATTTGATTCCTCATTTTGTCTTACAAACCCAACATTGATATTTGAAATTGTTTTTAATCCCAACCTCTCACTTCTGTTACCCGGGTGCGAATACTCGCAGCTTTTCACAAACAATTTCAGAAGATAAAGTAAATATTGCGCACCAAACGCACTTGCGATTAAAGAAAAAACAATCTCATTAAGCCCAGTTATCGGGAATATCATTATTTATCTCCCCCTTGAAAATGAGGAAACACGTATTTTTTAGGGCTGGGGCTGAACATTTAAAAGAATGTGTTGTTATGTAAAGCTTGTTTACAACACTTTCCTCGTGCATGCACTCTGGTTGACCCCACATGAGACGCTACGGTCATAGATGGGCGTGGCTTAGTCTTTTGATATGTTGTGTTTATTGCCGACAGCAACTAAAAATAATTAATTTGTTCTCAGTGGTGTTTTGTCGAATGTTCGCGATTGTATTAGAAAAGTAAAGGCGTTTCTAGACGTGTCGGTAGACCCACATATATAAGGGATTGACAGGCACGGAGAGAAGGATGGAGATTCAGATATTATATTATTAACTTTAGGAGACAATTGTATTATTCTTTCTGTCCTCATGTGTGTTTATTTCGAATTCATCATTATTAATTGGCACATTGTACTAATTGTCTACCGGTACAAAATTGTTACCATACTCTGTAAGTTGATGATTTGTAATTATATTTCTTTTGTTTTGTGATTGTATTATTATTAAATTAAATCTTACTAATTGTACTTGACAACTGTTTTTGTGTGTCGTATCTTCTTTATTGTATTTCTCTATGGTATCGTCCTTTGTTGTGCACTGTCTGAACGAGCCATAACTTAAAACAAGAGATTAATTTCTCACAATAGAAGCCAGTGCGTAACAGTGTTGTCATTGGTAACGAGTCTATGTGCCAAGTTCCAGCCTGATAGCTTGACGGAAAGTGGATCAGTTAGCCGTCCAAATAATTTGCCAGCCACTAACAAAAGCAAAGTTAATATAAAGGATTTAAAAAAAATGGTTTAATTTCCCACGAATGTTTAAGGTGGCTGCTCATGAGCCTTATTTATACCAAAGACGCTCGCCGGTCACAGCCCACACATTGATTGCACATTTGCCTTACATTACAGGAGAATGTGTTCGTTGATATGGAAACCGCTGCACACAATAAAACAAAAATAAATTTAAAAAAAAAAAAAAAAACCCACCAGGTTGCCTATCAGCCATGGGGGCAAAGGTTGCTCAAACGTGACTGGAAAGTTTGACAACTCTTTCCTGTTGCTCTGGAAAAGGAGGTTAAACCCGTCATCAGCTTCGGTCGCAGGCAAAGCAAGAGGTGCACTGCTCCATTCCTTCAGCACATTCGGATGTGTGGTCCAGTTGGATTGTCGCCAGGCCGATGACCGACGGTCATAATCCTCTGTAGGGTTTCTGGTTGCCATGGCACTTTGTTGTGACATTATGGCCGGCCACAGTAAGGCCAAGGTCATGATTAGAGCCGTGATGGAGGCGACATCCATTATGGTCACTAGTTTTGACAAGAAAGTGTTCAATTATTTATACAATTATTTACAAACAAAGCAAGAGGAAATGTAAGAATTTACTCCAATAAAATCACAATGATAATTTAAAATAAAACTTAGTCGTCGCATACGAACTACCATTTTCAAGTGAGCCCGTATATTTGTTATGAATGTCTGAAAAGAGATACAATCTTCGCTCACAAATTGATATTTACTTATAAACCGAAGCAAAACTTTGTATTCAGCTGCGAATGGGGCAGTGTAGGGCAGTGTGGGGAAGTGTAGGGCAGTGTGGAGAAGTGTAGGGCAGTGTGGAGAAGTGTAGGGCAGTGTGGGGAAGTGTGGGGAAGTGTGGGTCAGTGTGGGGAAGTGTAGGGCAGTGTGGAGAAGTGTAGGGCAGTGTGGGGCAGCGTGGGGCAGTGTGTGGAAGTGTTGGGGAAGTGTAGGGCAGTGTGGGGCGGTGTAGGGCAATGTGGGGAAGTGTGGGGCAGTGTGGGGCAGTGTGGGGAAGTGTAGGGCAGTGTGGGGCAGTGTTGGCCTATGCAAAAGGGCTGCAAAATAGTAATTATTTAGTTAAATCAATGAACAATACACCAAATAAAATTTTCACACACTTAGTTTCAATTTGTCAAATTTAATTTAAATGCGATATAAAACTGTAAGACTTTGCCTAAAAAGAAAAAAAAAAATTTTTTTTAAAATCTTTAATCCCCCTAAACTTTGACGGGACATTGACAGGTAATGACAAAAAACACTTCACATAAATCGCAAATGTTGGGCATAACTGTTCTAAACGATGATTTTGTTTAAAAATGGAACCACACAAAGAATCCGTTACATTTACATAAATCTTCAAACAGATATTACAAAAATGTATTGAAATACTTATAACTAAATGAAATAAACACAGCACTCTGCGATAGCAAAATCAAAATATCAACCAATTAATTCATTCTTTTTTTGGGAAAAAAAATTAATTAAAAAATAAAATACATAAAATAAAATAGTTTTGCGACTTTGCAAAGTAATAAAAAAAAAATAAATAACCGCTGACGTAAGCAGAACAGAAAACTCCACAGCGAAGGCCCGATCTGAAATGATCCAATGCAGCAGATCGCTGAAACGACAAGTCGATGAAAAAAACCCAAACAAATGACAAGAAGTTAATAAAAAAAAAATGTAGCAAAGAACGCCAAGGTAATGAGGGCGAGACTGTCTGACTTACCCCGTCATATCACGCACTCGTGCGCAAGGAGACTTGGATCAAACAAAATAACCAGAAGAAGAAGGAGAGTTCCGTTGGTCTGCGTACACACACACACACATTGTCTGTGCATTGACTGCACCGATACTGAAAGGACGGCTGTTGTTGGTTTGTTTTTGTGTCAGTCGGTGCATCTCCCCACACGTTGGCTGGGGCGGGGGATGAGTGAGCCACCACCACAACGTCCTCTTTTATGGGGTCGGGGATGGGGGGGGGGGTTGAGTGGGAGGAAAAGGCGTGGGATGTTTAGTCGGTCGGTGACCACAGTGCACATTCGAAGAAGAGCCCAGACCACTGTCATGTGAAGCCACACCACAGCTGCTGCGAATAAATACATGTGAAAACAAACCTCCAACAATATAACTTGAAGCCATTAAAGCATCAATGAACTGGGCAATGTCGTTAAAATTCATTTCAGCAACCAATGTCACAGATTTCTACTGATACAGGCCTACGAGTTATCTTCGATAAATTCATTTAAACAACCAATGTCACACATTTCTACTGATACAGGCCTACGAGTTATCTTCGATAAATTCATTTAAACAACCACATTTTTGTGAAACAGGCCTGCGAATTTTCTTTGAATAAATTGATCGCCCAGTTAAATAAACAATCAAACAAAATAATGATAATAATAATAATAATAAAGTTCATTTCAAAAACACACGCTTCATCCCCAAAGGCTCGAAGCGCGGTACAAAGTCAACAAAAAACAAATCTATAATTTACCACATTTAAAACAAACGCAACATTACAAAAACTAATTACCAGCATACAATGTCATGGAATGTTCCTATCATCAGCTGCTGCCAGTTAAATACACCACAAAACAAACAACATGGAATGTTCCTATCATCAGCTGCTGCCAGTTAAATACACCACAAAACAAACAACATGGAATGTTCCTATCAAGTGTGGAGAAGAGTAGGGCAGTGTGGGGAAGAGTGGGGAAGTGTGGGGCAGTGTGGGGAAGTGTAGGGCAGTGTGGAGAAGGGTAGGGCAGTGTGGGGCAGTGTGGGGCAGTGTGTGGAAGTGTTGGGGAAGTGTAGGGCAGTGTGGGGCGGTGTAGGGCAATGTGGGGAAGTGTGGGGCAGTGTGGGGCAGTGTGGGGAAGTGTAGGGCAGTGTGGGGCAGTGTTGGCCTATGCAAAAGGGCTGCAAAATAGTAATTATTTAGTTAAATCAATGAACAATACACCAAATAAAATTTTCACACACTTAGTTTCAATTTGTCAAATTTAATTTAAATGCGATATAAAACTGTAAGACTTTGCCTAAAAAGAAAAAAAAAAATTTTTTTTAAAATCTTTAATCCCCCTAAACTTTGACGGGACATTGACAGGTAATGACAAAAAACACTTCACATAAATCGCAAATGTTGGGCATAACTGTTCTAAACGATGATTTTGTTTAAAAATGGAACCACACAAAGAATCCGTTACATTTACATAAATCTTCAAACAGATATTACAAAAATGTATTGAAATACTTATAACTAAATGAAATAAACACAGCACTCTGCGATAGCAAAATCAAAATATCAACCAATTAATTCATTCTTTTTTTGGGAAAAAAAATTAATTAAAAAATAAAATACATAAAATAAAATAGTTTTGCGACTTTGCAAAGTAATAAAAAAAAAATAAATAACCGCTGACGTAAGCAGAACAGAAAACTCCACAGCGAAGGCCCGATCTGAAATGATCCAATGCAGCAGATCGCTGAAACGACAAGTCGATGAAAAAAACCCAAACAAATGACAAGAAGTTAATAAAAAAAAAATGTAGCAAAGAACGCCAAGGTAATGAGGGCGAGACTGTCTGACTTACCCCGTCATATCACGCACTCGTGCGCAAGGAGACTTGGATCAAACAAAATAACCAGAAGAAGAAGGAGAGTTCCGTTGGTCTGCGTACACACACACACACATTGTCTGTGCATTGACTGCACCGATACTGAAAGGACGGCTGTTGTTGGTTTGTTTTTGTGTCAGTCGGTGCATCTCACCACACGTTGGCTGGCGCGGGGGATGAGTGAGCCACCACCACAACGTCCTCTTTTATGGGGTCGGGGATGGGGGGGGGGTTGAGTGGGAGGAAAAGGCGTGGGATGTTTAGTCGGTCGGTGACCACAGTGCACATTCGAAGAAGAGCCCAGACCACTGTCATGTGAAGCCACACCACAGCTGCTGCGAATAAATACATGTGAAAACAAACCTCCAACAATATAACTTGAAGCCATTAAAGCATCAATGAACTGGGCAATGTCGTTAAAATTCATTTCAGCAACCAATGTCACAGATTTCTACTGATACAGGCCTACGAGTTATCTTCGATAAATTCATTTAAACAACCAATGTCACACATTTCTACTGATACAGGCCTACGAGTTATCTTCGATAAATTCATTTAAACAACCACATTTTTGTGAAACAGGCCTGCGAATTTTCTTTGAATAAATTGATCGCCCAGTTAAATAAACAATCAAACAAAATAATGATAATAATAATAATAATAAAGTTCATTTCAAAAACACACGCTTCATCCCCAAAGGCTCGAAGCGCGGTACAAAGTCAACAAAAAACAAATCTATAATTTACCACATTTAAAACAAACGCAACATTACAAAAACTAATTACCAGCATACAATGTCATGGAATGTTCCTATCATCAGCTGCTGCCAGTTAAATACACCACAAAACAAACAACATGGAATGTTCCTATCATCAGCTGCTGCCAGTTAAATAAACCACCAAACAAAACAACATGGAATGTTCCTATCATCAGCTGCTGCCAGTTAAATAAACCACCAAACAAAACAACATGGAATGTTCCTATCATCAGCCGCTGCCAGTTAAATAAACCACCAAACAAAACAACATGGAATGTTCCTATCATCAGCCGCTGCCAGTTAAATACACCACAAAACAAACAAAATGGAATGTTCCTACCATTGCTGCTGCCAGTTAAATACACCACAATACAAACAACATGGAATGTTCCTACCATTGCTGCTGCCAGTTAAATACACCACAATACAAACAACATGGAATGTTCCTATCATCAGCTGCTGCCAGTTAAATAAACCACCAAACAAAACAACATGGAATGTTCCTACCATTGCTGCCGCCAGTTAAATACACCACAATACAAACAACATGGAATGTTCCTATCATCAGCTGCTGCCAGTTAAATACACCACAAAACAAACAACATGGAATGTTCCTATCATCAGCCGCTGCCAGTTAAATAAACCACCAAACAAAACAACGTGGAATGTTCCTATCATCAGCTGCTGCCAGTTAAATACACCACAAAACAAACAACATGGAATGTTCCTATCATCAGCTGCTGCAAGTTAAATACACCACAAAACAAACAACATGGAATGTTCCTATCATCAGCTGCTGCCAGTTAAATAAACCACCAAACAAAACAACATGGAATGTTCCTATCATCAGCTGCTGCCAGTTAAATA